TTTTTTTTTTTTTTTTTTTTTTTTCCTTTTAGTTGTTCTCCATCAATATAACATTACACTGGTACTACCCAGCCATCTACATCATAAAACTTTATCCTTTTAAAAGTTTTCCCCAAATATTTGCTTAACTATTTCACGGCGGGGTTTCAGCTTAGAAAAATTGTGCTCGCTAATTTATCATTATGGCAGGATTAAAGGCAATCCCTCAAGTTTTGCCATACAGCATGGGCAATATTCTTTGTGTGAATGAGTCAGTGTACTTCATCATGTTGAAGGAGACTAACAGTATGATATGTTTATGCTGCTGGCAACTCAACCTCAGTGGAAAGGCAAGACAGTGCTAATTACCACAATTATCAGTGCATTAGAAACTTAGTTTCACTTATGTTGCTGGAAAGACATCAAACAATAGCAGATAATCCAAGATGAAAATGTAAATAAATTAATTAATCTAGAACTTGAGTCTACATCATGCAAACTTTAATTGCCATTGTTTGCACTTTCAACCTGCCTTACTATGGAACAAAAATACCGAGGGAGGTTGTACAATATAACTACTGCAATGTGTCTGATACAACAATCTATAAGTATGTAACCATTACATATTCTATTCATAAAATCCCAAACAATAGAAAAAAATTAATATCCAAATTTTAAACTTACTCATAGCCCAGGGAGGAATTTTCCTCTTAGGAGCACTGTCCTCATCAGTTGAGTCATCACTCTCAATATCATTTATATCATAATTATTAATATTTTTCTTATATTTCTTGGAGTTTGGTGTAATGTCATAACTATCTTTGTTTTTCCCAGTAGAACTTGACTGAGACGGTCCAGTAGTTTTGGAAAATGTGGTATTAAGACCATTTTCCTTGTTATCACTTAAAGTGAATGTATGATTTAGTCCAGTTTCCTTGTTATCAGCTAGTGCAATCTGTAGGAAAATTACAGTGTGAGATATATAATCATAAGATGAATAAAAGCATTACAACATAATAATCAACAAAATACAATAGAGAATGCTGACAAACTAACCTGAGCACTGAAGCTACAGGTTCATGTGGAAAGTGGACATGAAGATGTTACTAAGGAGCTAAGAAATAATAAATTTGAGAAAAGGATTAGAGGAATACTGATGGAATACAGGCATAATAACACATTAAACAGAACTGAGCAAAAGATGATGTTATCTAAAGGAAGTTCTGCATTAATTACCAATTGTTAAATAATGCAGCAAAAGGAAAATAAGTACTTTAGTTTTTACCTTTTTAACTGCTGAGCTTGTCAATTTAGCTTGTTGTAACTCAGCAATGCGCTGTGCTTCAAGCAATTTAAGGTATTCTAACTCCTTTTTCTCACGGGCGATGCGTTCTACCTCAGCAATTTTTCTACAAAAGAAAATTTTTCTGATATACTACAGTTTCTTCAATAACTAATAAAGCAGAATAAATTAATCATGACTTCACTGGTGCAATTAAAAACAAAAACATCAATGGAATTTTTTTTTTTAGATTTTTTTACGTGGGTTAATTAACCTACCTGTCATATTAAATATATTAGTGTACCCCACTTAACGGGGTCAATTGAACCCAGAGGGTCCCGCGTTAAGTGAAAACCGCGTTAAGTGAATAACAGAACATATGGGATTAATTCCAATAGAACCCAGCCCGACCCCCAAACTCCACTTTTTGACGACAAATAACTATGTTGTAGTAAAAATAACATCTTAATTTTATGATGGTACATGCACACAATTAATACTTAAGAGAAATACAGTCGCCAAGTTAATGTCCATTCAAATAATGGACTCAACTCCCTCCCCCTCTCACACTACAGTACACAGCCAGCTAACAGATGGTCGGTCGGTCCCTCCCTCCCCCCCCCACCCCCCACCAACCGTCCCAAGGAGATGTGTGGGATAACCTCAAACTAAAGTTAGGAAAATATAATTGACATTGCTGGATTCCTTGTAAGACCAGGAATATTTTGAATATAAATGTCATATATTTTTCACAAAAGATAACATACTTACTCAGATTAAACATTTTATCTAAAAATTGTATGTTTAATGCAAAAAATATGTTGTTTATATTCAAAATGATCACCAAATTATAAGAATTCCAGCAATGTAAATTATATTCTGGCCGGATAATTTGTATGAATTTTATGAGCTAAAACAAATATCTACAGTTAATAAAAAAAAAAATATATTCTTCAACACTATCTGTCAATCAAAGTACCCCACCTTGCCTCCCCCCCTCTTCCAACCACGCGGTCAGTCCCAACCCTCCCCCACCCCCCACCAATCCTCCATTCAGTATTAAATAATACCTCAGATTAAAGTTAGGATAATATAATTGACATTGCTGGATTCCTTGTAAGACCAGGAATATTTTGAATATAAATGTCATATATTTTGGACAAAAGATAACATACTTACTCAGATTAAACATTTTATCTAAAATTGTATGTTTAATGCAAAAAATATGTTGTTTATATTCAAAATGATCACCAAATTATAAGAATTCCAGCAATGTAAATTATATTCTGACCGGGTAATTTGTATGAATTTTATGAGCTAAAACAAATATCTTCAGTTAAAAAAAAATAATTCTTCACCGGGTAACAGATGGTCGGTCGGTTGGTCCCTCCCTCCCCCCCACCAACTGTCCCAAGGAGATGTGTGGGATAACCACTAAATTTTAATAAATAATACCTCAAACTGAAGTTAGGATAATATAATTGACATTGCTGGATTCCTTGTAAGACCAGGAATATTTTGAATATAAATGTCATATTTTTTGGACAAAAGATAACATACTTACTCAGATTAAACATTTTATCTAAAAATTGTATGTTTAATGCAAAAAATATGTTGTTTATATTCAAAATGATCACCAAATTATAAGAATTCCAGCAATGTAAACTATATTCTGGCTGGGTAATTTGTATGAATTTTATGAGCTAAAACAGGCAGTCAGGCAGGGTGGCGGGTGGGGGGTGGTGCGAATCTAAAAATAGCTCTCGAGCCGGACACTCACCGCGTTGCTGTGGAAAAATCCGCGTTAAGTGAAAGTTCAGCTTTGGCAAGGCACCGCGTATATGCGAAAACGCGTTAAGTGAAAGCGCGTTAAGCGGGGTAATACTGTATATATATATATATATATATATATATATATATATATATATATATATATATATATATATATATATATATATATATATATATATATATATATATATATATATATACACACAGTAGAAGTCCAAAAATGCGGACTGCTTGAGGATTGAGTCGGTCCGGATTCTCGGATTTTCCGGATTCTCAGGCAGTACTTTTAAAATTCAAATTTAAGGAGGAATAAAGAAGAGGTGAACAGGTACATTTTGATAGTTTATTCATTAGCAAATATAGCATGCTTCATTTATCAAAACGAGCAGTTTTAATGAAAAAGCTGTGAATTCTAGAATTTTATTCTTTGCCTTTTTTATATCATAAATTGTAGACTTTACAATGTTGTATGTTTCCATTAGAACAGTATTGCTCACACCACGTTCTATTTTAATTATTTAAAGTTTGTCACCCAATTTCAACGTGTTCTTCTTTCTCTTCACACAACGGAGTTTATCTACTTCAGGAGCCATTATTATGGGCTCTGTAAATGGAAAGAGTAGGACTCAAAATTACATACGTTGTCACAGTTTGATTGCTCGTTTTAAAGTGGCGATCGCTTGTTGTCGCTGTGCAGCTGTGGCGCTCACGCATGCGCACATACACACAAAAGCCAGCTAAAAAAAAAAAAAAAAAAAGTTTGAGTTTTCGAAAAGTCCGGATTCTCGGGTGGTCCGGATTTCTGGCATCCGGATTTTTGGACTTTTACTGTATATTAATAGTTTTTTTTATTATTCTTAAGAGGAAATACTGAGTGTTTAACTTAGTGTGGATGTACGTACAACCACCTCAAAAAGCCTGTCTCTCCTTCCAAACGAATCAGAATCGAAACTAAACAAATAATTTAGCACCAGCTGTGATGAGATCATGCGCTACATCTACCACCGAGTATTGATTATAATGTCCCTTACATGAAGATGTTATACACATTCCCTCTAAAATTTTGTTCTGATTGTAATAGACCAAAAATATTGAGAGAGAGAGAGAGGGAGAAAATTACACTTTCTTTTTCATTGGTGTTGTTACCCTGAACCTATCTCTCTCTCTCCAGGCAAAGATGGCATGTTATTGACGTTTTCAAGGACAAAGGGCATAATTAAAATTATTCCCTTGATCATTATGACACAGAAATTTCAACATATTTTACATAGGCATCAATAATATGTTAATACCCCGGTCATTGCAAATGATGTGTCCCTAAAATTCATTGCGAATATCAGGATAATTTCTCCCATAAGAATTAATATAATTATATAATTGGTGGAGGTGTAATGTATTAAAATAAGTACAATACCATAATACAATACAAAACAACACTGCAGAAACACATTTTATTAGCCAAGCATCTTTAGCCTGCAAAAAGGTCACATTATTATACATCCATGGTATCCCTCCCAACCCCCTGGTCGGGGATAATCATATTTTTCTTTTATGGCCCAAACACCCCAAAATGACACTTGAAAATCTGCCTCGTTTAAAGGTGCTGCGAGACATTTAAATCCAGGGCTGGTGCAGTATTCCCAAACCTCTACTCGCTTCCAGTGCTGTCACAGTACTACTGGTTTGTCTTGCAGCCACATATATACATAATGATCACACACACACACACTGTAGGAGGGAGGGAGGTAGGTAGGTAGGTAGGTAGGGAGGGAGGGAGGGAGGTAGGGAGGGAGGGAGCAATGTAGGTGGAAGGCATGTGAGAGAGGGAACAGGGTGGGATGGAGGTAGCAGTATGGGAGGGAGGGAGGGAGCTAGTGTAGGAGGGAGGAAGGGGTGTGGGTGGATGTAACTATACAGTGGGACGGACTGGTAGGGGTAGGTGAAATGGAGGGAGTACTGGACGTTCCTGGAGATGAAGAGGACACCAACCCTCTCTCCTCTACTTGCTGTTTATCAGTGTTGTTTTCCTCTTGTTCAAACACATAGTCTTAGTCACTATCATTATCATCACGTTCAATATCCCTATCAATGCATGCCTCTGTCAATCTATACTCATCTTCACCCCTACCAAATAATTTAGAGTATGTCTCAACCTGATTGAGTGACCGGTTACGTTCACATGCCATGGCTATCGAGAGACTACTGTGTAGTCCCAGGGCCTTGACTGTGAGGAGAGATGGGAGGGTGGGGCCCCCTGGGGAGAGATGGGAGGGGGGGGGAACATTTACACAAACAGATTATGGTAGCTAGACTCAATTTCAAAGGTGCGGGAAAAGCAGATTTGGAAAACGTTCTAATACGTGACTGACCAGAGATAATAATATCGGTGATCACGTAATTGAACGTTAATGACCAGTTATGGGTTAAAATAAGCATAGAATATTGATTCACCATGGGTGTAAAAAATTCACTTACTGTAAAGACACACCGACACAAATGTTGTTAATAATTACTAAACTTTGTGATTGTGTGTATAAAATGTGTGAATGAGTAGGAGGCATTACGAAAAAAAATTTGACACAGTATCGACACTACCACACAACGCAACAGATCAAAGCAGACAGAGAGAACTCTTTCGCATGGCCTGGTGTATGAATACACAGCAAAAACAATTAACTATGCAGCCTGCTCACATAGCTTGAGCCACCAAGCACCAGAGATGACACACACCTCCAGCATGTTCCTTATTTTGCTCCTGAAAAGTTAAATATCATCATACATAGAAAACAAAACTCCATTATGAAAACACATATGGCCTCCACCCAAAAAATCCCACCAAGCACATTATATATGCAATAATGCACAGCCACACATTAATCCTTTATCATGCCTAAAATAAACCAAATTAAATGACAGTAACCAGCAGAAATATTCCATTAAATTGGAAATGAAGAGAGATGCAGGCATAATTAACGACCATTAAAGAGGAACAAAATTTACAGCATAATCAGCCGAGTCTTGGGGTCAGAAGTCCATAGCTGGTAACAGCATCGTACCTGGCATCTCTGCCAAGCACTACTTCTGACAGAGGAATACAGTATGAGTGCAGCAGCTAGTTAGCTTGTGCAGTTTGAAACAAATTTACTGTAGCATATTGTAATTATTTCTTTCAATTTTCTAATTCGCTTTGCGGATAAGCAAGGTATGCTTTGCGAATACAGATACTGAACTAAGTATAGAATATGCCTGTTAAAATATAAATTGCGAATAAGTGGGGTCATGATTAACGTTTCAATTGAAAAGTGCAATAAAAGCCATTATGCTTGAGATAAGACATACAAATATTATAAAGCACATACGACCCAAATGATATCTTATTGTCCACCACCAGCAAAACTTCGCCCAGCAGCGGGGAATGTATGGAACAGCTTCACTCCCTGTTTTTACTTAAAATTTGAATTATCTCTCTAATTTTATGAATTTACACACCCTCACAGATGAGTCACAGACATGAGGGCTCGGAGCAGTATAGTCACCTCTCACTTTACACGGATTTAATTAGCATGTTCTTAAAATAACACTAGCATTAAGTTAACACCTATTTTTAAATAACACAGTTTTCAAAAGAGTCCCATTGCGCCAGGCAGCATAGTTCTACATCTCATTGCTTTCCTACTTTACAAAAAAGGAAAGAGTAACAATCACCTTAACCTCAGCCATCAACATATGGTAACTCGAAAGCTCCCACTTCTCCCCATTCACCTGCTCTGTCATCTGATTCAAATGACTAACTCCCCCAGTAACCCCCACCTCTCCTCCACCACTAGTTCCTGCATGCCATCTCAGCCATCATTCAATGTTTACGTTCGCACAAATTTTCATTTAAAATCTATTTTCTTACTACTGTATTATTAGATTTGCTTCTATTATTGTATTATTATTGTTAATATATTTTTGTAAAAAAAACATACTGAAGGAAATAGATCCACAAATTAAAGTTTTTAGGGAGCGCTTCCCCTAACCCCCGCCATTTCCTTTATTTATGGGATAATTAGGTTTGATTTACACGGTCATTCTCAAGAACGTAACTACCATATAAATTGAGAGATGGCTGTACACAGCTTGTTCCAAAATGAGCAATCCTCAGTGAAGTGAGAGGTGCACCAGGCGAGCAAAACTGAGGTACTTGGATGTGCATTAATAAAAGCAACCAGTGGAGTTATGGTCTCCAGTTTGTGCAGTGGGCAATGAATAAAATGTACGGTACCATGAAACCACCAAAATGGTACCTTACCAGCTGTGTTTCCTATGGAAGAAAGTGCTTACAAGATAAGCACAAAAACTGTAATTGAAAACACACTTGCTTGACACCAGATAGGGTTATTGCACTACAATGGTATTAAATAAGGTGATATTCCCCAGAAATAACTTGGTATTCAGAAATTTTCCCACACAGAGTACCTGTGGAGATCCATCAATTAAAAGGTGCCACTGTAGAAGTAGCTGTCTAACATAGCAGGGCTCTCATTTGATAGACAGTCTTCATTGCAACAGAGCCTGTTATAGCCATAAATCATGTGGTGGGGAATGGGGGAAAATGAAAATTCTCCCAATAATGGACAGAGCTTGTATGGATTAGTTTGGTACAGTATTGGCAGGGTTTACTGTAATTTTATTTAATACACTTACCGTTTCCTTTCTTCCTCTTGACGACGGCGTTGCTCTGCCAGATATAATAGTTTTTCCTCCTCATTTTGCTTTTCTTCTTCCTTTAATTTCCTTGACTCCTCTTCCTGTTTCCTTCGTTCTTCTTCCTGGTTTCATAAATTAGAAATGGAGTCACAATCATTTTAAAGAAAAAATACACAGAAAGATGAAGTGTATGTAACCTGACTTTTAATATACTGTAAACCCTCGATAACTCGGAATTTTATACAACTCGGCATGGATATGTTCTCGGAATGGTTTCTTTTTTTTTACGGGGATTAGCCCACCCGGGCACAGGTCACTTGACCCACATCAGGGCCTGGGGGGGCAAAGATATAATAATAATAATAATAATAATAATAATAATAATAATAATAATAATAATAATAATAATAATAATAATAATAATAATAATAATAATAATAATAATAATACAGGGGGGTAATAATAATAACACTGGTCTACAAAAAAATATTTTTTTTTTCTGGCATGAAACCTTTTAACTGTTTTTTACTAACTTTAAGGTGCTGAATCCAAATCTGATCTCAGATTTGCTCCATCACGTAACGTGCCAGAATTTACTGAGCTACCAGAGATTGAGGATATAGACCGGAATTCACCTGTTTCTACTGATGAAGATGAAGAGACTGATCTTTTCAAGCCATCTGGTGAAGATTGTGAAAAGCCAACGTTGTTTACTCAGTCAGAATTGAATGATCTGGTCAGAGATCTAAATTTGCCAAAACAGTCTGCTGAATTGTTAGCTTCCAGGCTTCAAGAGAAACGACTCTTAAAACCTGGCACGAGTGTCTCCTTTTATCGCAACAGAGAAGAGCAACTGCGGAAGTACTTTCATTCATATGACCAGCTTGTTTTTTGTAATGATGTAGAAGGACTTCTTCTCTCCATGGGACTACCAGCATATGATAGTAAGGATTGGAGACTTTTTATTGACAATTCTAAAAGGAGCTTGAAATGTGTTCTTCTTCATAACGGAAACAAGTACAGTTTTACCCCGCCTAACGCGGTTTCACTTAGCGCGTTTTCGCATATACGCGGTGCCCTGCCAAAGCTGAACTTTCACTTAACACGGATTTTTTCCACATATACGCGGTGAGTGTCCAGCTCGAGATGCTATTTTTACATTTTGCCCACGCGCCACGCGCCACCCGCCCGCCCGCCTGCCTGCCTCTCCCTCCTCCTCCCTCCGCTTGGGCAAGCGGCGCGGTAAGGTTGCGCAGTGTGTGTCTTTGTTGCGTTATCACTGACGTCATATGACGTCTCGGACTGTGATTGGCCATGCAGCCCTACCCCCCTCTGCTGCTAGCTGTAATTGGCTTAAAGTATTATGACGTGACTACCCCGGGGAGGGAGGGAGGGAGGAGAGACGACGCTTGACCTAGCCGCGGCAGTTTCATCCCTCAAGGCCACCCCGGGTTAACGCGCATCCATTGTTCCGTAAAATGGCTTCCGCCGGACCACCACCGCCCCCAGAGAGAGACCTTTCCTTACCTGGACCCAGCGGCACTAAGCCAAAGAAGACACGACGTTCATTAAGCTACGAGGTGAAGTACCAAATTGTTCAAGATTTGGAGAAAGGAAGACGGCAAGTTGATCTCGCGCGCCAGCATGGCGTCAACGAATCTACGATTCGTACAATCAAGAAGGATGCAGCCAAGATCAAAGAGCACATGAAAATCACAAAGTCTGCAGGTGCTTCATCTATCAGGTATTGCCAGAACAGGGTGCTGGCAAAAGTGGAAAATTTGCTGGTGAGTTATTTGGTGCGTCAGGCGCGACGCAACATGGCGGTGGACACGCGCTCAGTGCAGGAGTACGCACGTGAGCTATACGCAGCAGTGACACGTAAACTGGGAATTGCAGAGCCCAAACCCTTCAATGCTTCCTCTGGTTGGCTGCATAGGTTTAAGAAGAGGAACAAGATCACCAACATCAACATTGGTGGTGAGGAAGCGAGTGCTGACCGTGCGGCGGCTAGAGATTTTCCTCCGTTTTTACGTGAGATTATGGAGGAAGGACAGTACAGTGACGACCAGGTGTTTAACATGGACGAATCTGGTCTTTTCTGGAAAAAGTTGTCCAGTCTGCCAGCAAGGTAAGGGGCCGGAAGATGCAGAAGGAACGCATCACCGTCCTGTTTACCTATGTACCTAAACCAAAGGTCGGTGATTCACAGTTCGCAGCGCACACTAAAAGAAGGGACATGAACAAGCTTAATGTCCACTGGCTAACCGCACGTAAGGCGTGGATGTCCTCTTCTCTGTCCCTCTTCTGGTTTGACAACTGTTTTGTTCCTGACGTGAAGAAATTCTGCGAGCAACAGAATGTTTCATTCAATATTTTGTTGCTCCTTGACAACGCACCTGGACACTCGCCCCTACTTATGGATCGTCACCCCAACGTAAAAGTGGTCTTCCTTCCTCCCAACACTACGTCATTAATCCAGCCCATGGACCAGGAGTTGATCTGCAATGTGAAAGCTGCGTACTCTGCAAAGAAGTTCAAGCTCCTGAACGACTCTACCAACACCAAGGATGAGTTGCGTAAGCTGGGTGACACCGACAGCGAGAGCAAAAGCGACGAGGACAAGGAACAAGAGGCGGGACTCAAGAACTTCTCGTCAAACAATTTTGGAAGAAGTTTAACGTTAAACGTGGTAGAGGACAATAAAAAGTGAAAGTTTTTATTTTTAGATGGCCATTTGTCCAATACTGCGTACCCATGAAAAAAGAACACAGGCGAAATCCTGGGTCATTTGGACAATATTTAGAGGTGGCTCAAGCCATTTGAAGTTAACACTACTGAAATTATTATTGATTTTTTCTAATTTCTTTATTTATGAACCGATTACTATGAAACTTTGCAGGTATATGTAGAATGCAAATTCAAACTAAAGTTGTTCCTAACATTTTTTCTAAAAATGAGTAATGAGTATTTTGGCTGGTGCAGCTATTGGCAATGCAGAGGGGAGGGAGAGGCGGGTGTCAGTCGGGGTAGGGGGAAGAGGTTGTGTGCCAGTGTCTGACTGGTACAGTAGCATCAGTTGTGTGTGAGACGTGACGCTGGAAGAGTGGAAAATATCAGAGAATGTTTCAGCACTCAGTTTTGACACAACAGCTTCAAACACTGGGCACTTGTCGGGGGCATGTGTCATTCTGGAGCAGAAACTCGGCCGCCGTCTTCTGCATCTCGCGTGTCGTCACCACATCCTTGAGCTTGTTGCCGAGAAAGCGTATGTGGAATGCATGGGGCCTTCCTCTGGACCAGATATTACTCTCTTCTCTCGCTTCAAGCATAAGTGGAAGGACATCAGTCAAGATGACTACAGCCCTCTCTCAGACCTCCCTCCAAGTTTGTACGAGAAACGAGATGACCTCATCTGTTGCTGGAAACATCATCTGGGCAAGAAGCAGCAGCCACGTGATGATTACCGTGAGGTACTGGAGCTAGCAATCAGGTGTCTCGATGGAGCTCTACCCAAGTTTAATCTCCGACGGCCCGGAGCACTTCACCGAGCACGGTGGATGGCTAAGCCCATTTATGTCATGAAGATCCTGATTTTTGCTAATCAGTTTAAACTAACTGCTCGTGAGACATTAGGCTTGAAACGATTCACATTCTTTGTGCTAGAGGTGTATGTCAGTGCATGGTTCACGGCCTCCGTTCCATCCTCCGCTCCTGCTAATGATTTGCGGCTCCTCCAAGACCTGTCAGAGTACCACGACGTCAAAATATCAAGAACATGTCTCACAGTCTTCGGTCGTCACCTGTGGTACCTCAGTGAAGGCTTGGTGGGTCTTGCACTCTTCGATCCACAAGTTAATGCAACAATGAAGACAAACATAGTTCGGGCAATCGTTGAGAGGAAGGCGACCGAGGATTCACCAAAACGTGCTGCTCTTCCTGCCACATCTTCCCTTCCCACAAAGCAGCTCTCAGACTTTGCTTCTAGAGGATCAAACTTTCTATTTGAAAGTCTCAAAATGAAGACTTCTTTTTTGTCCAAGGAACCTGACACATGGTCTGATGATGAAGACTTCAAAACTGGCGTCGCAGTTGTGGGTGGTCTCAGAGTCATCAACGACACTGCAGAGAGAGGGATTGCCTTGATACAGGCATTCAACAGCAAGATCACAAAGAGTGAAGACCAGCGTCAACATCTGCTGCAGGTTGTTGAAGAGCAGAGGCGGTCACAACCAAGGACATCAAAACAGGACCTTACAAGCAAAAAGCGAAAACAATGAATGGGTTGTCCACACCTCTCCCACCCATTGATGTAAGCGTGTTCACTGCAGTTTCATTTTAAAAAGGAATTAATCATTTATATGTACAGTGTACACATAAACTTGCTCAATATGTAAATTTTAAAATAAACCGGCATATTATGAATATTCGTATTTTTTGCCAAAAGGATAAAACTTCAATTGACTTGAGCTACCTCTAAATATTGTCCAAATGACCCAGGATTTCGCCTGTGTTCTTTTTTCATGGGTACGCAGTATTGGACCAATGGCCATTCCATTTAATCAATTTTAGAAATTCACCCCTATGCACTATTGTCACCCCACGGTAGACTTCTTGGTGGAGGCATGGGATCTGCTGACTATTGCTACGATTCGTCACGCATGGAGACATGTGTTGCATGGCATACCAGGTGAGAGGAGGAGTGAACCTGTGACTGGTGAGGTTCAGACTGTTGCAGTAGCAGTGGACCTTGCCAGAGAAGCTGCGCTCAATATTACAGCTGAAGGCTTCTCCGAGACCACCAACGAAGACATCCTGGAGGTGATCAAAGATCCTGAAGTGACTGCCGACGAGATGTTGGAAGAAGAACCCGCCAGTGAAGAGGAGGAAGAAGGTGCGTCATTCTCCGAAGAACCTAGTTTAAGTCATAATGATATTAAGTGTGTCATAGAGTTTACAGAAAAAATTAAGTCCGTCCTTTCCCGCGACAATGACGATGAACGCTATGACGTCTTCCATACCCGACTGGTGCAGGCTATGGAGCCGTACATCAAGGTGTATCACGACAACATCAACACCAGCCGTCAGCAAAGCATAACAGATTTCTTCGCCCGCAACCCACCACAGCCAGCCCAAGCCAGTGATAGTGAAAGTGAAGTTGACTTTGAGGGATTTGTCAGGGAAGCCCTGACAACTGTAAGTGACAGTGATGTTGATTCACCTAGTAATGGTGATTCACCTAGTAATGGTGATTCACCTGAGGGCCAGTAATCTGCCCTCTGCCTCGGAACCAGCCTCCATCCCCGTATGCCGACCCATCTCTTCTACTACCGTAAGTGTTCCGCAAAATTTTTCGTTTTTTAACCTATTCTTTATTTTTCCTATGTTAACCTTTATCTTTCCTAACCTAACCTCTTCTATATTACTTGTTTTTTCATGCCATCATAAAGTTAAGATAGAATTTTTACTACAACATAGTTATTTGTCGTCAAAAAGTGGAGTTTGGGGGTCGGGCTGGGTTCTATTGGAATTAATCCCATATGTTCTGTTGTTCACTTAACGCGGATTTCACTTAGCGCGGGACCCTCTGGGTTCTTTTGACCGCGTTAAGTGGGGTACAACTGTATGGTTCAATTCCAATCGGACATTCTGTACAAATTAAAGAAGAGTATGAAAACATTAAGACTGTTCTAGAGAGGTTGCAATACCAGGCTCATGAATGGTTAATTTGTGTGGACTTGAAAATGGTAAACTTTCTATTGGGCCAGCAAGGAGGGTACACAAAATACCCCTGTTTTCTGTGCTACTGGGACAGCAGGGCTACAGCAGACCATTGGGTGAAAAAGAATTGGCCACCAAGACATAGTTTGATGCCTGGTGACAAGAATATCATTAACGATCCTCTGGTTGACAGGAAAAACATTGTCCTTCCTCCTCTGCACATAAAACTTGGGATCATGAAGCAATTCGTCAAGGCTCTTGATCATAGTGGAGAGTGTTTCAGATATATATGCTCAACCTTTCCAAGTCTTAGCGACGAGAAGAAAAAGGCAGGGATTTTTGATGGACCTCAAATAAGAACACTACTCAGAGATCCACACTTCCTTGCAACAATGACTGAGGCACAGGCAAGAACTTGGAATGCTTTCTCTAATGTGGTGCGGAACTTCTTAGGGAACAAGAAAGCGGACAACTATCAAGAAATTGTGGAAGAGCTGCTCTTGAGTTTACAAGCACTTGGATGCAGAATGAGTATCAAGGTTCACTACTTACACAGTCACTTGGACGAGTTTCCAGAAAATCTGGGAGAAGTGAGCGAGGAGCAAGGGGAGCGCTTTCATCAAGACATTAAAGTAATGGAAGAACGTTACCAAGGTCGATGGGACTCGAACATGATGGCGGACTACTGCTGGAGTTTGATGAGAGACATTCCAGAAGCTGTACATAAGAGATCGGCCAAAAAGAGGAAGTTTATGTAACTGTAACTTGATCTTAATACTTGCACTATTTCTACCGCACATTAATTGTTTTTTTTCACCCTTCAATGTTACATTTAAATATTATATGTGCATTAACTTTCCAATTTGATATTAAAAATTTTTGGTTATAGAAAAATACAAATTATAATGCTGAAAAAATTTATGTATACATGTTTAAACCGTCAATTTTGATCCAAAAGTTTACGTTTCCCAGCAAAAGTGCAATATGGTATATCTCAAAAACCTGATGTGATAGACAAAAACCAGTCATATTTGGATTCTACACCCCAAATTTACTTAAAATCCGTTTAAAAACCTTGTGCCAGAAAAATTGCGTTGACCGGTGTAATTAATTAAAATTAATAAAAATTTTAATAAACAAAATAACAGTAATAATAATAAATAACCGTAAATAGTAAAAAAAAAAAATCAAGAGTGAGAAACGACATACATTATGTATATTGTGTTGTCAACAGCAAAAATCTCGGCATATCTGGTAGCCTGTGTCACCTACCATACCTCTGTGTCACCTACCATGCCTGTGTCTCACCTACCATGCCTGTGTGTCACCTACCATACCTCTGTGTCACCTACCATGCCTGTGTGTCACCTACCATACCTCTGTGTCACCTACCATGCCTGTGTGTCACCTACCATGCCTGTGTGTCACCTACCATACCTCTGTGTCACCTACCATGCCTGTGTGTCACCTACCATGCCTGTGTGTCACCTACCATGCCTGTGTGTCACCTACCATGCCTGTGTGTCACCTACCATGCCTGTGTGTCACCTACCATACCTCTGTGTCACCTACCATGAATCTGTGTTACCTACCACACCTGTGTCACCTACCATGCCTGTGTCACCTACCATGCCTGTGTCACCTACCATGCCTGTGTCACCTACCATGCCTGTCACCTACCATGCCTGTGTCACCTACCATGCCTGTGTCACCTACCATACCTCTGTGTCACCTACCATACCTCTGTGTCACCTACAATGATGCTCCATTCTTCGCCTGCAGTGCTGGTAAGTGTTACTTTTTGTATATTTAGTAATTACCTGTACACACACACATATGGGTCGATGATTTTTGTATGAAGGGGGAAAGGCCTCGATAAGTCAGAATCTGGTATACCTCAGCAAGGCCAGAGCCCAGATGTGCTGATTTATCGAGGGTTTACTGTATAGTAAATATATACGAGAGTTTTAAATTCAACGCAACTATGAATAATTTAATTTCCAAGGTTACTGCTTAAACCTACCTGTTCTTTAATCTTCTTAACTCTAGCCTCTTCTGCACGTCTCTTAGCAAGAAGTTGCTGCTTTCTGTGCTGCTGCTGCTGTTCTCTTAGTCGCTCCTCTCTGTTCTTTCTATCTCTGTCTTGTTGTTTCTTTGCTTCTATAGCCTTACGCTCTCTTTCTTCACGAGCTTCCTGTACCCGCTTCATCCTTTCCTCGTTGCGTCTGTTATAAAATAATAATTGAATAAAATTAATGACAATTCATACAAGATTCATTAAACCACCCAACACCTTGTTCTCCCATTTACCTGATACTTTTGATAATAAAAATAAAATACTGCTACAGTTATTATCTTATTCATTAAAAGACTTAGAACAAAATACACTAAAATATAATGGCTGTTAGCATAAGAATTATATATTTCTAATGTTGCAGTTGCTGCTGCACTGTTGCCATGTCTTGAATCTATTTTCAGTAACATCGGTGTATGACGAACAGTGCTATAGTGAATTACTTTTCAGGTTTTAAACAACTGCCGTCAGTCCTTAGCCCTCTCATTAACCAGGGTGTTCCTGTATATAATAAATACTGTATGCAAAACCTTTTGTATCTTGTGTCTTACCGAGGATGACGAGGTAAGCATCAGCCGACTTCTTGAGAAAGTTTTTGGTGTATCACGAGAGCTACCATGGGTACTGCTGCTGCTGCTGAGTAAAATCTTCTTTGGTCGAATAACCTACTACCATGGGTACTGCTGCTGCTGCTGAGTAAAATCTTCTTTGGTCGAATAACCTACATAGGAAAAAAATATATCAATTATAAAATTTAGTAAAGGCATCATTCAGAACAAAGGAAAGTGTATATTGTATATAGAGTATACCATATGCAGTATGTAATACTACTGCACATTTCCCCAGCTGCAAACAAGGTGTCACTCAAATCAAGGACATATCCACTTACTGCTACAATTCC